CCCTACCCCTAAACCCTAAACCATGACTATCCTCACTTAAGGCTCTCTAACCTCTGAGCTCGGGAGCCTTTAGAGCTTGCTGCCCTACCGGGGGGTTCCCGCAATTAGGGCCCTATCTTTGGTACCCCTAGGTATTTAGGGTTTAGGGTTCAGGGTTTTAGGGTTTAGGGTTTAGGGGTATTAGGCGCAGTACAAGAATCTAGAATCTATACCCAAAAGGGTCCGTAATTTTAAGAATAAACAACAGGCGCACACAAGCGCCATACCCAGAATCGGAAAACACAACAAGATGTCATGAACCACAGTAACTACTGTTGATGCTAAACCTCATGCATGACCTAAATATATCATAGCACCATAATTCCTGGTGTTTTAGGTACTCAGGGTCATGCAGGATTTTAGTAACCACCATATGGCCACACCCTACAACCGGAGCCCTGCTATGCACAGTCCTCCGAAACCCTAACCCCGAGTTTAGGGTTTAGGGCTTAGGGTACACTTAGCCCACATTACCCTAGGGAGAAAAAAGGATCCTTTTTAGATAAATGCAAGGACTCCTATACCCCAAAAAGTATAAAGGATCCCTAACATTGATCCAGTATAGGGCTTAAGGTTTAAACCCTTAGCGCAAATCCTGCAACCTAAAGCCACTTGGCTCCCCTACACGGGAACATTGAGCAGCAGCGGCGCGCTGATTCCGATCGCGAGGGCTGGCGGAAGAGCAACAAAAAACCCTAAACACTTAGGGTCTTGGCTTATGGCTGGGCTTTGAACCCCAAACCCAACAAAAACCCTAAACTGTTAGGGTTTTGGTCCCCTCCCTAAATGCCCTGAACAGTACTGTGGCTTGCGGCTCAGGAGTTGAGAAAGAAAAGTTAGGGATCCCGTTTTGGAGGTCGATAAGGGTTTGGATTTTTGGGGCTTAGGGCTGAGGGTTAGGCTTAGGATTTTTGGATGTTAGAGACTGGGGGGCTCCCTTTTTTTGGGGCGCCCTCAGAACAAGGATTGCGGTGTCTGGGGGGTTTAGAAGCGGATCCCGGTAGGGTGCAAAAATGCCTCAGACTGGCGGAACCAGGTGTAAAGTTTAGGGATTAAGGGGTTTAGGTTTCAGGGTGGCAAGTAAATAGCAGAATGCGAAGGGGCCCATAGAAGTATGGGCACCACACGTACTTTTTCTGTACTCAACATGCGAGCCCTCCCATAGCTAATGAGGCTTCATGGAAAATCAGTTCTAAGTGGGGCCATAAGTAAGGTAACTGTACTTACGCCGCCATTTAGCGGACTTCTAGCTGTACGTTTCGCTGCCCATGAACCTATGAATAGAAAGCAGCAGCTCACAACTCAAGGCTACTTTCCCCTTTATCTCCTACAAGCTTCCCAAAACTAAACCCCAAAACCCTAAACTCCCAAACCCTAAGCCCTAAACCCCTAAACCCCTAAACCCTGAACCCTAAACTCCTAAACCCTAAAGCCTAAGCCCTAAACCCATGTCTTTCTGAAGAGCAACAACAAAAAAGGGTGAACAGAAAATCGACCAACGCCTTGGCTCATCTTTCCGCGGGAGACCCAACCTCGAAAAAACTGGTCCGTGCGATGTATAGGGTTTAGGGTTTAGGGGTTTTGGGGCTTGGGGTTTAGGGTTTGGGGTTTGAAGGTTTTAGGGCTTTAGGGTTTAGGATCTAGGGTTTAGGGTTTATTAGGGTTTAGCCTCAAGGACTTGGGTCTAGGGTTTAGGGTTTAGGATCTAGGTTTTGGGTTGATAAGGGTTTTGACTCAAGGACTTAAGGTCTAGGGTTTAGGGTTTAGGATCTGGGGTTTAGGGTTTATTAGGGTTTAGACTCAAGGACTTGGGTCTAGGGTTCAGGGTTTAGGATCTAGGGTTTAGGGTTTATTAGGGTTTAGACTCAAGGACTTAAGGTCCAGGGTTGAGGGTTCAAGGACTTGGGTCTAGGGTTTAGGATCTAGTGTTTAGGGCTTATTAGGGTTTAGACTCAAGGACTTAAGGTCTAGGCTTTAGGGTTTAGGATCTAGGGTTTAGGGTTTATTAGGGTTTAGATTAGGATCTAGGGTTTAGGGTTTATTAGGGTTTAGACTCAAGGACTTAAGGTCTAGGGTTTGTGGTCTGGGGTTTAAGATTTAGGGTCTAGAGTTTTGGGGTTTCTGGGGTTCATCCCGGTAGCCTTTGGGGAAATTACTTCGGGATCCTGTACCTCTAAATTGGTATTTAGGGTCTAGAGTTTTAGGGTTTCAGGGGTTTAAGGATTCAGGGCTTAAGGGATTTAGGGTTTAGGATGGATTTAAGGTCTAGGGTTTAGGATGTAGGGTTTAGGGTTTCTTAGGGTTTAGAGTCTAGGACTTGGGTCTAGGGTTTAGGGTCTGGGGTTTAAGATTTAGGGTCTAGAGTTTTGGGGTTTCTGGGGGTTGATGCCACGGGCCTTTGGGGAAAATCCTTCGGGATCCTATACCTCTAAAATCGCAAATTTAGGGACATCAGTCTTGATATGAGCCATAATCTAAACTTCTTATGGTATTTAGGGTTTAGGGTCTAAACTTCTGGTATCCCCCTTAATAACCTCAAGAGTACTCCCCTACATCATCCCCTGTAAAACCCTGTTGAAGGAGTCTCGACTATAGCTCATCTGAACATTTTGGGAACCGAATTCTTGATCTAACTATCAGGTGGCTTGGGGTTTCAGACCCTAAACCCTCAACCCAAACCCTAAACCCTAAACCGTTAAGGGTTCAGGGTTTGGGATTCTGGCGTTGCCATTTAGGGTTTAGGGTTGAGGGCTTAGGGTTTAAGGGTTTCCGCAAGGGGTTAGGGCATAGGGCTGAGGATTGAGGGCTTGCGGTTTGGGGTTAATGGTGCAGAAGTTTAGGGTTTCACGCTTTCGGTGGGAGATTGCCTCTTCGGCAGCCATATATAAGACTTGCACTAAAACCAAAATTCGCTACAACTACAATATCGGGAAGGGGGTGGGCCATAGGGTTAGGGGGCAGCATCCGCTTTCCTCTTCAATAACCATGCCCAAAAAAGCTCGAACTTGAATAAACCTCGAGCAAACCCAAAAAGTTGAAACTTCTCGCTTGGCGGAAGTAAGTCCTAGGTGCAGGTTTCGGGGTTGAGGATCGCGATCAAGCTCGAAGTCTGAAGGTTTAGTGTTTAGGGGTTCGGAGTTGAGGGGTTTGGGTTAAGGGTTTACCCTGCCCGTGAGGAGCCCTTGCACTCCACATCTTGAGATAATTAAACCCATGCAGCACATTCTTAGGGCCCGACTGACCCCTCTAGGAGCCACTTTGAAGCCTATGCATCCACCATACCCCTGCATATATAAGCAGCAATACTAATACCAAGTATTGTATTTATTGGATCATTGCTATAATTTGCTGGGACCCTGCAATCACGGAACTATTTTGGCTAGTATTGTTGTGGTTGCCATCATCATTCTTTAAACTGCCCTTATTGCTCTCAGTCTTCTGGTTGGTGCTACTTCTGTTATCAATACTATTGTTACTATTCGTGTTATTCTTAGTGCTACTATGAAATACTTCTCAGAGAGTGTCTATATGTATAACTATCTTGGTATATCAAAGAGTGATAGAGGTATGTTTGTACACACACACACACCGTTGGATCAAGTACCCCAAAAAGCCAACCCCAAACCCTAAACCCTAAACTCTAAACAGACGAGCTGCTGTTGATCAAAAAGATTGCGTGAAAGATCGAGACAAAGGCGGTTGCCTGAAGTTGCCAAGTGTAAGGCTCATTGTTGGAACTATGGGCCCCTGGTATGGGCCCTTACTAATCATAGGGTTACTATATGCCCTTAATATACCTTATAAAAGCCTGTGCGTGGTGTAATTTCTTTACCCTAAAGCCTAAAACCCCAAACCCTAAACCGTGATGTAGTTCCAGGGTCCTTCTTGTTGGTAATTCAAGACTAGGGCCTAAGTTACCCTAAACCCTAAACCCGTGGTTCAAGGCTAGGGCCTAAGTTGCGAGTTCATAGCTCTGCTGTGACATGGAGGTGGTCTTGCTCATAGGAGCCATAGTCTAAACTCCTAGTACGTATCCCCCTTAATTACCCCTATACTATTCCCCTATATATCCCCTACATAACCCCCCTTAAAGGAGTTTAGACTACAGCTCGTATGGGTATTTCTCAAAATCGTCTCTAGATACTCTTGCAGGAGAGCCCTTCTAAACTCCTGATATTCCCAGGGTCCCTTGGGGCACCCTCCTAGGAGAAATATCCATCTGTGAGGTTGTTAAGGGCGCTACCCTTAGCCCTAAATCTTTACAGGTGACAGGCAGGGTAGTTCAGGGTTTAGAGTTTAGGGACTGGTCTGGGGTTGAGGGCTTAGGGCTTAGGGTTTTGATTTCAGGGACTTGCCCAACATTCCAAGCACGCTCTTCCCGCCCCCATTTTCAGCAGCTATGTAATGTAGTGGGCAGAGTTCCACATTGAAGGATAGTGATGCCTTAGAATTTCTTGGTTCGTATCTCTGTTCTTTTCTTTGGGGGTTTCGGGTTGTAAGCTTCCTGTTTCGACCTCAGAGGGCAAGGTTAAGAAACTGAGTATGTAGGCAATGGATTCATGACGTATTTATATGAGCCATGGTCTAAACTCCTAGTATCCCCCTTAATAACCCCTATAGTAGTCCCCTATAGAATCCCCTATATAACCCCCCTTGAAGGAATTTAGGCTATAGCTCATATACTCATAGAAAAATACGGTAGGAACCAGACTTCGGCGTAGAGCTACGGCTAAAAGCATCGCAGCTTTTTCCCCACCCTTCTCGAAGATCTTGATCTAAACTCGAGGGACGTAGTTTCTGGCACATTCCGATGGATGACCCCCGCCCCCTAATATTCAACCCCCCCACGCCCCACTCATATTAACTACTCCCAAAATTTCTAAGATACCACATAATGGGAGTATCTAATCCGAACGGGCTGGGGGGTGTTAATATCAGGGGGAGGGGATTAGGTCTTACTCTAAACCGTCAACCCTAAACCCTAATTAGGGTTTCAGAGCTTCGGGCCACGGGGCTGAATAGGGTTTTGGTTTAAGGCTTAAGGTTCTACGCGGCACTTAGGACCCCTACCAAGGGTTGACCCTTAGGGACCTATAACGGGAGTATGAGGGAATCCTAAGGGTCTAAGGTCCAAGCGAAGTCCCAAGGAGGATTCAGGGCTTAGGGTTTAAGGGCTTTAGGAGGCCTGTATTTAATGTTTACGCTAGCCACAAGCAAGCGCAAACATCCCAAGCGATTCGTCATCGCCTTCGCGCATAATGAACCATATTCATTGCCTGCGACTGTGGCCTACCCATGGGCTCCTAGGTAGTTCCTTTTTGAGTTGTAAAATGGCTGCTTGGGAAGGGATTATACTTGTGATGTACTACCCAGTAAAGAACTTTAGAGGAGTTCTGGGGAACTGCCAACAAAGATCACAATCCCTAAGCCCAAAGCTCCAGCAAACCAGTAGATGTTCAGTGAACCCAAAGCCCTTATCCAGCGGTCAAGGGCGCTCCATGTTTGAAAGAATAGATCTAATATATAACTGCAAGAGCCACGACTTTTTCTAGCCTTATATACCAACACATATTTCCACCCTACATCCCAGCAGAGGCCTGAATTACAAATAATGACTCTACCTCTCTGAAGAGAGGAATCAACGCTATTGAGCCTGGCCGCTTCGAACTCCAACAGTTGAGGGGTTTAGCTAAACCCTAAACCCTGGTTTGAGGCAACCCCAGAGGTTTGGCTGTGGACCTCTCCAAATTCCACACAGCTGCTCCCGCTTGGCAAGTGTGCCAGTGACCGGTTTCTCATACCCACCAGGCTGGCCTTTCCATCCCCTAATCCTCCACTCTGGGTTGCTGTCTAGGAACCTACAGTAAGTTACGATAACAAGGGAACCCTATTATTTGCTGTATACCCATATGATGGTAACTTAAACCCTGAACACTATATACCCAAGAACTAAATTCCCCAACAGCAGGCCAATAGTTCCGGCCGTTGCAGCAATCGCCTTGCGTGTGTTTGGATTGCTCGAGAAATTGGTTGACGTTAGCGTCATTTGTTCCAACTCACTCCAGCGACTTGGGCCCTGAAGTAGACTGAGATCCATTAGTTCAAGAGTTGTAAGTCCTGTAATGTAAGTGGCTGCATCTTCAACATCCTCTTTCTTTTTGCAGCTGCTCCCATCCGCAGTCAGTATATCGATTTACTAAATCCTAACCCCCCCTTTGAACCCTCAAGCCCTGCACCCCAATGCTGGGTGCCCGGCGGACAGGATGGGATCAAGGGGCCTGGGCTGAGGAAAGTAGGGTTGAGGGGTATAGGCCAGTGTTAAGGGTTTAGACCTTATACAGTGTACATGGTTCATGCATCTTTCAGGGGCGTGTTCTTTCGGAGTAAAAGGACTTCCAAAAAAGTAGCCCTGTAGTGCGCGGAATCCCGATGTAAGGAACCAACAAAAGACCCCAGTTTCAGAAGCTACCACTAGGGCCAATTAAGGCTTTGGGGCTGTACTTTCCCTCAAGCCAGGAGCCTGTCATCAGGCTTCTGACACAGGACAATGGTTCTTTCAAGTTTGGAGTTTGGTTTTAAGGGCTTGTTTGGAATGAGCGGTCTTTGTACATTTTGCCAGCATTGACACGTGGCCAACGGCTGAGATAGCTGGTGAAAATGGTGGTTCTTCAAACATGTCCCTCTCTTGAAACATGTCCCTCTGGAATCCTTTATAGGAAGCCCACCACTGTGTCATCACCACATATTCTTGCGGTCCCGAATGGGACCTTCTTTTGCGAGACCCCCATGTAGGTTTGAGGCTTGCGCACCTAGACGCTTATGCCCTACCCCCCGCTTGGGCATACCCCAATTCCAGGATTCGAGGTAGCCAAGCTAGGCTTGCAGGGCGTCGAGTTCAGGATTCACGGTGTAGTTGGCGTCGCCCCTGTGAGGAAAGCTGCTGTTGATGCGAACGTTGCGGGTGTACAGCCTTCACTCTACGGGAGCTTCAGAACATGAAAGCTACTGGATTGACCAGACCCAGGATCCCCCAACTATCACCTCGAAGGACCGAATGCTAAAGACCGCCAGACCCTAGCTAGCCTCTATAAGGGCATGATTGACCCTAGGAACCTTGTGGGGCTAAAACGCGGGGTTTGACAATGCAGCAAGTCAGCTGTGAATATTTGAACTTGGGAGTTGCGATCCTCGGGTGGACATAGCGTGAGCATTCTACCTTCGAGAACAAAAGTTTGTGCCAGATATGATGCAATATGGTATCTGTATTTCGAAGAAGCTTGTTGGACTGCTGCAGGCAAAGCTTGCAAACATCCTAAACCCATATGGAGTTCCCAAAATTCGGGGTTCCTATTGGGGGGTCCCTATCATAAGGACTATAATATTTTGGCTAGACTAGGGTCCCCCTACTGAGGGAAACTTTCATATGCATCTTTGCATTGGCTCCAAATTTCTGTTCTGGCATTCACAACTACACACTCTGCCATTTCTGGAAGATTTTAAGGTTGAAACGGACTTGCGAAACACTGCTGTTGGTAATTACTGCTCGCTCTCCCTTCAGCCTTTTGAAAATGTGTTCGCCAAATGACACTCTTTGGAAAGCGCTCAACACAACAAACGCTGAAGCCTTGAATCACATGAAAAGCCCAATCAACCGCTCTCTGTGCACTGGAGATTGTCTGAGGCTCACGGCTGGAGCCAAGCCGGATACTCAGGCAGAACGCGCAAGCTCCTTATCTGACAGATGGCTGCTTAAGTGGCATAATGTTCTACAATGTTTTTTGACAGAACAACCTGATCAGAGTTTTCCGGTGCGCAATATGTTTACGAGTGTCATGCAGTCACTCAGGTTTCTTCTGCGGCGGCTAGAGGATTTGTCAACAACGAGGGCAGTTGGGACATCAATCTACTGGGATCGAATCCCGGCATCATGCCACTGATCACTGATTCGCTTAAGAATACTTACGGTCACGAACAAGACGTGACGAAACAACGGAGGAGGTGCATGAGAAGTTGGTCTACAGCGCATTCATGCACTTCTGGTGGGGGTCCGGGCCCCCTACATGTCAACCCCCTAAAGCGGTTGCCCAAGCAATCAACGCCAAGATGTTGCGGAGGGATGTTGTGATTCTATGATTCTTGGTTCTGACCCGTGAATTCAGCAAAGCGCTTAGCAAACGTCCAGAACATGACGGACACTGGGCTGTCCATAAATGCAGTACCTACCATTTTCTCAAAAATAGATACCAAGATACTTGTCAGATATGCTTTTATTCCAGTTCATCTTCCGTTCAGAAAAGGATGCGTACTCGTCACCGAGGGCGGCCGGCACATAAGAATCTTTGAAGTTCATTAGCGCTGAGCAAATTGTTTCTTCACATTTTCTACAGATGCTTGTACCTCTGGATCACGAACCTAGGGGCTTAAGTGTGAGAGACCCTCAGCGCAACCCCGCGGCATAAATTTGGGAAACCAACGGGGATGGCCTGCGAAGTGGGCTCCTCAAATCTGCCCTGCAGAAAAACACGGAAAAATTGACAGACAAGCTTGTGCTCAGGATGGTCCCTGGCACCCGAGCAGCAAAAACCACTTTTGAAGCTTGGCCATACCCAACTAATAACTTGCGCAACTGCTTGGAAATGAGACTTGTCACTTAGCACCCACCACGAAACAGCTCACCGTCACATATGTAATTATGTGTGATGCCGGCTTGCGCAACACATTTCGTGCTGAAGACATACGTTGAAATGCCCCCCCCCCCCAAAAGTCCTGCAATGCATGCGGTGCCACATGTTACAACTTTGGCTCAGGCTGATCGCGTACCTTCTTGCAACATCGGTTGTGCAAGTGAGCTCAAGATAACAGGCCCGACTTCTGCTCACCCATCTGTTGCAAAGATTTGGTGTGGTACCAGGCTGCTTGTGCGTGTGGCTTTGATTCCAGTGTTGTAAATGCTGCAAGATTCCACCAACATGCCATGGTGTGGGTTGGTCGATGGCCAGAACAGGGCAACAACTCCTGCGTGTGTGATATTGAGTTCCCTTCATGTCATGACGTTTTCTATCACTCCCCCATTATACCTCAAAAATGCCTAGACCCCAACCGCAAGCCTGACGTTTTGGGCAACATGAGGAATTGCACGGCATGATGGCTTCCCATGGTGCACAGCTCGTACTTAATCTTGACAGCATGAACGAAACTCAAGTTTTCCTAGCCGACCGGAGTGCCATTCAAATTCGGTCCAATTTTTTGAGAGAGCCCCCGCTTGGTGAGATTCGGATACATACCAGTGGAGTACTGCCCCACTCAGTAGCAGTTGGGCTTCCAAGTATAGTATGATTCTGTATAGGGCCTAATATTACCCTTACTAGAAGTATATATGTATATGTTCAGTCTGGTTCTGTATAGCGCTTAGTATAACCCGTACTATAGCAAGGTTTGAGGTTTCAACTTTAGGGTGGGGGCTGGCTGCGGCTTCCCTTCGGCCCTTACCATGAAGAACCCCTGGTGACAGAAATATATGGGCAATAGCTTAGGTGGACCCCCCA